CGGTCCTTGCTCGCTCAGCGATCTCCAAGGCTTCTTTGTATTCGCCCTTGTCGCAGTGCGATCGCAGCAGCATGTCCATCGCAGCAGCCTAGTCCAAACACTGGCCATTTCTTGTAAAGGATTGTTGGTTGATGGCCCCATTGAAAGCTGCAAGTTTTACCACCAAGTGGAACTTGCCCAGCCCATGTGAAAAATCTAAAAGCTAAAAGAGCTTCTTTTTAGCACTTGGCACCTCCGCAGACTGGTTGTTCGTGTTCTGGAAGCGCTTCAGCGACTCGTGGACGGCACTCAAGCCCGTCGTGTCACCCCGTCCTTCATGAGCCTGTCATGACATGAGATGACAGATGACATGTGTAGCCAATATCCCAGAGAAGCAGTTTCATTGGCAAACACTAAAGAAATTCAAAAGGCAAGAGACCTTAAACGGTCAAAGCATGATCACAGATTTGAAGTCTTCATTGATTCACTTGGAGGCGGCTTCCACCGCATCCTTCCAACATCACCACCAAGCACCTGTGAGAGGAGCTGCAAGGCACGTAGCTCTTGCGAGGCACTCGCCTTGGGCGCCTTTCGAAGGATCTCCAAGGCATCCTGTCACAGCACATCCAAAGACTAGGCATCTTTGCGAGCATCCATGCACACATGCACACACGTACACGCATATAATACCTACAATATATATATATATATTATGTATTTGTACATGACAAAGTAATGCATACGCATATACAATGTAGATATGTGTGTACCTACAAAAGCTCGGAAAAACACGTACAAAATGCCTTGCGCCTTGATGGTCACTTTTTGAGGAGCGGTCATGGTTTGGTGGCTTTGGACCGCTTCCATTCTCACATCGCGGGGTTTGACTACCGATCCAAGCTGTGTCGGAGCTTCTAGCACGACCCCAGCCTCTGCATAAGCCACAGCAAGTACATGGCGGCCGTGGTTCAGAAACCACTGCGCCATACAGCACAACTCAAACCCTTCAGCATAAGGATCTTGAAGGTCCAAATAAAGATCAAGAGCCTCTTCAGCGAAGAGAATGCACTCGGTATGCCTGGGCAACGCCATCCACAAAGCAACCATCTCACATCACAGTTCCATGAAGAGAGTGGGAACCCCAAACAAATCGGGAGACGTCCATTCTATAGTGCCACCAAATACTCCTCACCCAGCTCAAAGTCCAAAAACAAAAAAACATGCAAAAGCCCTCATTCTCAGCAAGCATCTGATCAATGATGTCGTAGGCCGAGGCAATCGCATGCAAGCAGGAGGCCTCCGTCCGCTGGTCCTTCAGCTCGCCAGAGATCCGACGGGCCTCCGAGGCCAACCTGCAGCGGGTGTCGGCAAGCATCGGAGAGTCCGACCAGCAGTGACCAGGTCTCTCAGTACAACCGACTGAACCCATAAGCAGTGAACCGGGTGGATGATGATGGTTAGTGACAATTGTGCACCGACTGTTACAGGTAATGGGACAGACCCAACATATTGGCTTGATGATGTGTGATGTCTATTCCCTGAAACTTGGAGGTGGGATGTCCCGATGCCGTTCGGAGTTCGACTGTTGCCATTTAGCAAGCCTTTCATGCTTCCTTCCACTCGAATCAAGCCACGGTCTCTCACAAAGATGCAATTGCGATCCTCCTACAGTAGTCCTCTCATTTCTAGCTTTACTAAAGTACACGCATTGGAGTTCCAGGGCTCAAGACTTTTGGCCCTTGCTTTGCCATGCAGCTCCCCATGCTGACAATGTCAGCATCAGTGCAAGGTGGAGAAAAAAGACACTCCGCAGCCAAGAGGCGTGAGGGCCTCTGCAGACCGTTTCTCCTGGCCAACAAGGACTTCTTGAATCTTGTTTGTGGTTGAAACCATCCTCAACAATTCCGACACAATCGTTCCCAAACAGGAATGGACAATTACAGTGCATATTATATATATATAGACTATTCCATGTTTTGGAATTGATGCAGGTTTGATGGCAAAGCCACACACTGTTGTGGTTCAGTGTGTGCTCCTCCGGCTCCCTGTCCTTGTCTTGGTTCTTGCTCTTGATGCACACGTGCGACTGGACCAGCAATGCGGCCGCTTGCCCCCGCAAATCGCCAAGCTCCAAAAAGAAGTCGTACGACTGTTTCCCGGCGACGCGTGCCTCAAAAATGCCCAACATGCCGCAAGGGAAGGTGATGACTTAAATCATGAACAAATCTTCAAGCCCCACTGGCCAGACCTCCTCACGCTTTTTGGAGCCTCTCTGGTCAGCATTGACCTCGGCCACAGCCAGCAGAGCTTTCGCCTCCATGGATTTGTCCTTCTTGAGCTTGGCATCTGCCAGCCTGGGCCGGCCAAAAATGGCTCCCAAACATTCTCAAAGGAGCGCTAGTTTGGAGGTTCCATGGGGTTTATCTATCTGTCCCCTGACCGAGGAGCTGTGCTCTCGCAAGCTTGTCCCCTTCCTTTCGGCTGTTGATGCTGGTCAGGGCCCGTGTGACAAGCAGCAAGCCTTCTGCATCACCTTCCGTGGTGCTTGGCTGTATGAAAACCGGTAGTAGGCTTGTGGTGCTCAACATACTCTGATAGGTGCATAGGTTTTGCTAATTGAACTGTTTCCACACAGGCCTCTCGTGTGCTTCTTTCGATGCCGTGAACCACCCGCAAGTGCCGGTGACAGTGTGATGAATCAAATCCCCAAAATGTCGCACCTTCCGTGCAGTTTGCCTGCTTCGCCTTGGCAATGGCCTGGTGCCCTCTTTCAATGGCTACATCTGGATCATCCTGAAGGGAACAAACGAAATGAGTGCCACTATAAAAGATATACAGTACATGCCACGGGACAAGACGGCAATTGGCCAAACCTGCCAAACCTAGATTCAATCTGTGATTCTGCAGTCGTTGACGTCACGTCCCACACCCGGGCGCGAACTCCTCGTTCAGTGCATCCAAACCCGTGGCAAGAAGCTGCCAAACCTCTTTCTCGGCCTCGCTGCCCTCAGTTTCAGCCTGACATTGACGAGTCGAAAACCATACATGGCTTCAGAGTGACCCAGGAGTCTTAGGGTGTCTTTTGTTGTTTTGGTCTGTTCCGAATGTCAGGACATGTCAATTTGTGAAGCAATCGGGTGCCCGTCCTTGTGCCTATAGATTTGCACCTGGTCAAGGCCAGTGTAGGGCTCGGGCGCCATGCCCTCAGATCAACTTGAGAGAGGAGGGGGTGAACGAAAGGTAGCAGGCAATCACAAGTAACCCTGGTAGAAGTCCACGACGGCGTGAACCGGCGCAGGGGGGATTTGATCCAGGGGGGGGGGGGGCCCCCCCCCCGACGAACAGAATCAACTCTTACAGGACCAAATTCAATGCACAATCCCAACTCCTGATTGTAATACATTTTTGCTAAAGCAAGGAGAACTCAGGTAGCTCAAGCTACCTTTCGTGATAAGGCTGTCCGCCGTGCCAAAACTCCTGTGCCACATGATGGAAACCAACGACCAAATCATCCAGGGCGCTCAGTCTGGCTCGGTTTCCCACGTACCCTGCGATACGTTGCTCGAAACGATCTTGGCCTTTGTCACATGGTGCCTCTTCTCTTTGAGCCAACGCTGCGAGAAGCCACGGGTTCAATTCCAAGCCCTGGCCAACCAGAGCAGTACGCAGCCCTAAAAATCCAGAAGCATTGGTAAACTTGGGGATGCTCGCTGACGCCAAGTATCTTGGGGTGATTGTTTGTACTGCACCCTTCTATTGATATTGAGTCATGTTCATTCCAAATAAACAATAATGATTTTTGCTCCAAAATTTGGAAGAGATCCTGTAATGTTGTGTTTCTTGGACATCCAGAAGTTTACATCTTAATGATTCCTGCATGCGGGATTGTTGTGTGTTTGGGGACATCATATGTATGCTGTGGGTTTAGAAAGCGGTACTGATACAGGAGCTCGTCTTACAGGAGTTACAGTTACAATCTTGATATCCTTACCAGCTGGCACAGACCTTGTCAGGTCCATATTGGGCAACTGTCAAAACAAAGTTGGTCAACAATTGAACCGTTGCCGGCAGTCCAGGCTTCTAGTGACAACCGGGGCAACGCCCGGGACATTAATCATTAGTCACAATATGACACTTGAGCGGGGAAACACGAAAGGTAGAGACGGACTGGGTAGCTGTCGGGACCTTTTCTGGTGAGGGACTTTCTCCGGCGTTTCAGGAACGTGCCCCTTGGTCAAGCATGGAGGAAACCAACAAAGCCAGAGAGCACAAGAAGGCTCAAAAGGAACACCGTTGCGGTCAGATTGCGCCACACGGCTCTGCAGAGAGGCTGCGTTGCGTCGACGCTCGTTTGTGTAAAGGTGTGTGAAAGCAGGCGCGCGTAAAAGTCGCAATGCGTAAACGCTCGCATGTGTACCAGCTATGGTCCCACAGCTGCACGCACTGTGTCAGGATTACAGGCCTGCACGCGTTGCGTCGAAGCCGCAGTGACCAACCCCCTTGTAAGGATAGTGCTGGAGGGGTGCGGCCGGTACTGCCAGGGATGGACGTCACGCTATGGTGGGTGTGCTCCACGATGCGGAAGGATTTCGCCACGCTAGGGTATAAGGCTGAGTCGAATGGTGTTCCGCGACGCGAGGGGTTTCTCCACAGGGCTTTGCAGAGAGGCCGTGTTGCATCGATGCTCGTTGGTGTCGAGCAATATGGTCTGTGAACGCAGTACGCGCTGTGTCAGACTGCCGGGTGCGCACGCGCGGCATCGAAGCCGCATTGCGCGACCTCATTGCGCAGGGTTCGTGCTGTATTGCGCAACCTCATGGCCAGCGTCGTACTCCTGTGACTGCTAAGCGCATGACTTCACCTTATGTCCAGAATGCTAGTAGTGCTAGTCCCGAGCAAGCTCTCAAGCCAGTCCCTTTGCTTCGCAAAGCAAACTCAAGGTAGTCCTTACCAGGCTACCTTTCGTGATATCGTGGCATGTGGCTACCAATAGACCCATCGCCCCACCAGCTAAAACCGGCCTCAGCAGAGCCTATGGAGATCAGCTCGTCAATGCAATGGAAAATGATCTTTGCTGCTAACATCCTGCCAGCTGAACCAAACGTTCTCGATCATTATCCATGAAGTCTCCATGAAGTCTCCAAAAAGCATTCTCCCAACATTTCGGCCCTTCAGGGCATTTTCTCGATCGCACTGGCTGACCGAGAATCTCGGCCCGGGCGGCTCGAGCGGCCGAGCGATTCTTCAGGCGCCTCAACCTGAGTAGATGAGCAATAAGTTTCACGTTGCCCAGCATCTTCCTTGGAACAACGATACAAAATGCTAAGATGCAACGGTGTAAAAAACATCGTACAAACAATTTAAGAATAATTGAGCAACTTGCGTGTCTGCACGCCTGTAGAAGGTACCAGCCATGACGGTCGCCCGCACAAGCCGTAAAGCATCCATCCGTCCGCTAAAGCTTCCCGTCAAGACACGTCTTGTACTTCACAAGCATTTCATACTGTTCTTCATAGTCAAGGCCTTAGGAGACGATTGATGTCATGGCCTCGTGAAGGGCCCCCCCTGACCAGATGTGTCTTCGTCCTAAGGTTCCGGGTCACACAGTGGCACCAAGTCGTCGGAGGGGACCAACCCAAAAAGAAAACGCTCGTTTGGCCGAAGCGTGTCAGCTTGTCTCCCGCGCTCGTTGCTGGCGCCATGGCCAAAGCCACTTGGGGGTGGAGCTCCGCCTCTCAAAGAGCACAACAAACTTCGTGCAGCCATTGTCTAGGCCTCTCAGCAGTGGTTGCGGCTGCGTGCACTTGCGAGAGGTTCTCCGTGGACACCAGTACAACTTAAAGTGTCAGGTTGCACTTCTACATGTCAGCGCAGCTTGGCTCAGGCTCGAAAACGTCCTGATCATCGACCGCAAACGTGGAACCCGCGACAAGGTTTGTGCCAAACCATCGTCAAAGGCTTGAGCCAGTATGGCTGGTGCGAGTCCCCATGGACCTTCAGGAACGACGACTTGCACCTTCAGGAACTACGGCTTCAAAGCTGCGATGTGGTACTTCATTATGTGAATCGTTCCGCATTCGCCACTGGAAGAAGGATCAACAGTCTGGTCGACTGGATGCCTTCCCTGATGTGCCTTACCACGTTGACAAATGTGCTTGGGCTCGTAAGCGAGCGGCCCTGAGTACATAAGCAGAATTTCCAGATTACCGGATGCACCGGAGAGAATTTCAGAAATGCCCTTTCTGCTCAGTGAGGCCTGTGGATTTTTACGTCACATCCACTGGGAATGTACTGCTCTGTCGGAACAAAGACTTGTCTGTCCCACTATGCCCTATGCAGTGTCGATTGGGATGGCCGCACCGGTTGACAAGTGACGATGACTCTGTTCTCGGCTGGCTTGTGAAAGCACGTCAGCTGATGTTGCAGCATCGTTACGGCTGAAGTTTTCCGAATCTTTATGAGTGGGGTTCCAGGCTTCTTACCCTGTCTTGTGCCTCGACTCCTGACACCTCCCTGGTCCCTACAATCCTCCGGTGCCTGGCCACTGAGGTGTCTCAAAAAAAAGTTCATGAGGTACGCCTCGCCTCGCTGCTGCAGGGCTTTGGGCATGGTGCTTGCGCGGCCTATGTCCTGTGCAAGCCGTACTTCTAAATTCTCTCTGGTGCTTCCGTCAGACCAGCGAAGCTGGACCGGATGTGTCAGAGAGAATTCCAGCAGTGTCCGTTCTGCTTCCAAAACATAGGTTTCCTCCACCATATCTGTTGGCAGTGTCCGGCGCTGGAAACTCAGCGACCCGACCCGATGCTGCGTTGCCTGATCGTTTGGACTCGGCTGACGACGCTGTACTGCTTGGCTTACCAAGGTGCGTGAGCTCATACTGCAAAAGCGGTATGGTTGATGCTCTTCCGCTCCTTGACATGAGGAGGGTTTCGTGAGCTTGTTGTGTTGGGCACGTTGGGTGTTTTCCTCCTTGTGCTCCCCTTGCCTCTTGATCCCCCCCTTGTCCCTATATCCCTCCAGTGCCTGGCCACTGAGGTGTCACTAAACTAAACACTCGCCTAAGGCGATTTCTCAGGTACGCCTCGCTTGCTGCTGCGGGGCTTATGGCATAGCGCTTGCGTGGACTATGTCATCAAGTTGATGCGTGTGACCCCGTTCAATGCAGACCCTGTTCGCGAATTGATCTACGCCAGTGACCTTCAATGCTCTCCAATGTGCCAAGGCACAGGTATCAATCTCCGGTGGTGCCAAGTGCACCGTGAACGACTCCTCGCAGTGACATGTCATATGTGAACAAGTGATGGCTGTCATGGCTGCATAACTGCTATTTCTTGAAGGGGATCACCAGGGAACACAAAGTGCAGTAATCATGCCTGGATGGGCGTTCTAGCCGAAGGTTGGATTATGTCAATTACAATATGTCCTTTTCGAGCTTTCTACGGCGGAAAAAGACAAAACACAGCCCGGCAAAAAGCTCACAGAAGGCCAGCTGCTTGCCTGGCATTGTTGCAGGAGTGCGCGACGAAAATTTACCTCGACTCCCTTCTGATGGAAATCCTCAGCGTCTTGCACATGCAGGATGCTCTCGCCGGCCGTACCCAACCCAACCCAACCCAACCCAACCCAACCCAACCCAACCCAACCCAACCCAACCCAACCCAACCCAACCCAACCCAACCCAACCCAACCCAACCCAACCCAACCCAACCCAACCCAACCCAACCCAACCCAACCCAACCCAACCCAACCCAACCCAACCCAACCCAACCCAACCCAACCCAACCCAACCCAACCCAACCCAACCCAACCCAACCCAACCCAACCCAACCCAACCCAACCCAACCCAAC